TTAAGATTTAAAACCAAAAAGAAAAAAAGGGTTAGTTAAAAGTTAAAACTAATTTTGGTGGTAATTTAAAAACAAAACAAAACCAGAAAACTTAGAAGTATGTTAACTAAAACATGTCCACATACAGTTTTGTATCAGGGTTTTTCAAATCTCTGAAGATATTTTGTAGGAGTGCACCAAATTTTGGCAGAAGGAATGTGGATCTGTTTTTAAGAAGAGACTGGACAGTCACTTGTCTGAAATGGTTTCGGATCTGGTTGAACAAGGGGCTGGACTAAAAGACCTCCAAGGTCCTTCCAGCTCTAATCTGATCGTAATGTTTCATATAGTAATAAGGGTCTTCATCAAACTCTTCTTTGCAGTCACTCCTCCAGTCTTTAAGCAGAAAAGTGTGTTGGCATGATTTGGGATACCCTAATAAGCTGTAATTTGTGTGCGTAACAAGTTTTGCTTAATAGAAGATTCCCGAGATGGTTGGTTCTGAAAGAAAGTCTGGGTTATCTTTGGGCCAGGCTGCATCCAGACTTGGAGAAGTATTAAGAGAAATTATAGAATTGAAGTAGCTACAAAATAAATGCTTACACCTGTTAAGATCAACCAATGTTAGACTGGATAAAAATGCTGAAGTAGCCTGTGGAAAAACGAAAAGCACTTGAGACAGGTTGCTAGTATTTTTAAGAAAAGGTTTAATAGAGTGTGATTTAAAAAAAACACAAGGCAGTCTACTATGCAATCCAGATATTCAGATACCAAAAATGTATTTACAGCATTATGAAGTTTTAATAGTATTTCAGAGTTATATACATCTTTGTACAACTTTCATCCTCTGGCTTCATGTTATATTTTGGAGCAGAAAGTGCCATTTCAGATTCTGAACAGAAGGTTGTGTAGTTTAGCTTGTTTCACAACAAAGTACCATAAAGCAATTAGATCAATATCAAAAGATGGGGCTGTTTGTTTGTTTTTTTCCACCCAAATGGAAAAAAATGCCAAAATCCAAACTGATGGAAGATTTAGTTTGGTTAAAGGTTGCAGTTCAATACTTCTAGAGGCTACTATGTTTGGAACAATTAAGTCTATAACCATGTATACTTTAAATCTCAAGATTTGTTGAATTTATCAGCATTTGAATTTGAAGATGCTTGTTTCCTAATAAAGGAATAACGTGCTTTTGTTGATGAAATTATTATCTGCAAATAACTAGGCATCTATGGGGGAAAATTTGTAAGATGCAATGGGCAAAATGGGCAAAACTGCAAATATATAAGGGTAGAATTTGCACCATGATGCTATTGCATGCATTTTACAATAAACTAAATTTCTGGCAGATATCATGCCAATAACCAAAATATGGGATGAAGTACAAAATGCTAAGGAAACTAGGTTGGTCATCAACAATGACAAAATGTCACATACCTAATAATTTTTGCTCAATGGATTTTAAGATTTTCCTTGGAATAAATTTCATTAAATACGTTGATATTGAGTTTCTAATAGCGAAGGGACTAAGAGCTAATTTGATAATTCCAATCTGTTTTTTAAAACTGGCTGTTGATTTATATATGTGTGTAGCAATAGCAATAGCATTTAGATTGATATACCACTTATATACCGCTTTATAGTGCTTTACAGCCCTTTCTAAGTAATTTACAGAGTCTGCATATTGTTCCCAACAATCTGGGTCCTCGTTTTACCCACCTCGGAAGGAGGGAAGGCTGAGTCAACCAATACATATGCAATATAAGAATAGCTATCTTTTTCCAAACAAGTTGTATTTAAAAATGTATATTTGGATTAAACCCTGTACTATATGCTGCTACCATATTTACTCAGCTGGGGAAACTGAAAACTGAGTTAGTCTTTACAAAATGTTTTGGTTGCTTTCTTTATATTGTGATTACATTAGGTTTTCATTTACAAGAAGTTACTGCTGCAACTTTTTGCTGCCTTCAGATTACAATTTGAGATATCAGAGATAGATTCTATGTTTGCTTTGCTGCTTCAAAAGTCAGAATAAACTTGCAACACCCCTTGTGAAAAAACACTTTTAAATAAACAACCAGAAGGACTGGCTTACCCTTCCACATTGCTTATATTTGGTCAAAAGTCTCTGTTCCTGATATTATGTGGAAAGGCAGTCTGATATGAGAGTCACTGAGAGTAGCCTTGACTCATCTGATAGATAGGGTAGGATATTTCACCACTGTTTGAATAAGCCCAGTAAGGCCAACAATGCAAGTTAGCATCTCTGTCCTCCACTGGCTAAATAAATAACTTGGTAAATGAATGAAAAACCAAGGAAGACCAAAATGCCTACCAACATCCTTACCTTCACTTCTGTTTACATAGAAAACACTATTTTCCATCCAGCTTTAGCAATCCAGCTGATTTATATATCCCATTCTCAAAAAAAAGCTCAGGCAAGACAATATGCTATATACTTAGTCATAATAGTTCAAAGAAACCATGATTTGAACTGCAATATAGATATTTCTCTACATGCAATTGCAGTTCAAACTAGGAAATTACACAGGAAAAGCATGGTGGCTAGTATTGTGTAACATTGGTCAACAGGATAATAAATATAGTCAAATAATTTCCCGTAGATGCTGCAAGACATTATTTGTGGCCGAGCTGGGAAAACCATTTTGTAATGTTAACTTTGGTGAATAATTGTCTATTTTACTTTGCTGATTTTATGAGTCATTATTGGATGCTCTATTCAACATTTTCCTGTTATAGCACTAGGACATCAGCAAACTATCATCAGGTCAAACTATCTGTACATCAATAGATCAATCAAATATAGGAATAGGAATGGCTAATGCAAAAAACATCAAGTGGCAGCCTTATATTTCATATTGTTTAAATGTCTAAATCTTAGAGTGCTAATTTAGTTTCCGTTCCAAAGACCTTATGACAAATTTACTGAAGTGGTTAAGATGTTGCCTTAATGGAGAGATCCAGGTTTTAGTCCTCCATCAGTCACATAAGTTCACTAGTTGTCTTGGATCAAATCATATTTCTCAGCACAATCTGTTTCATGGAGATGTGGGGAAATTAGGAAGAATGATATACTGTACAGTGTATATGTCTTAAGTTTCTCAATGTAAGGCAGATTATAACCTAACACTTTTTCATATATACTGGCAGTTTCCAGACTTACTTTCCAACCTCAGCATCTATTAATTTATGGAATTGGATCATAATTTCTTCATTGGACACATGCTATAGGAGGGATATTTTTTAAGAAGAATGTTGTTGGATGATTTTCAGGTTTTAGTTTCAGAATCTCCTTTTCATAATTTATGTATTTATCTTAAGCAATAATTGAGCAGCTAACACTAAAATAAATCTGCATTTATGAACACACACACACACACCAAATTTTGTTTTCTCAAAGATCAAGCTACCATATAATACAGAGTCTCCAAACTTGGCAACTTTAAAACTTGTGGAGTTCATCTGCCAGAATTCTCCAGCCAGTTGGCTGGAGTTAAAGTTGCCAAATTTGGAGACCCCTGACATAATACCTACAGCAGTATTTTGATCAGTGGGATAAATTCAGTATATACTAATGTGGCCCTACCACTTCTTTTAGCTTCAGCTGGCCTAATAAAGATTATCGCTCTGTAACAGGAGTGTCAAACTCGTGTCGGCACAGCATCGTCACGGCATCATCATGTGATGTATCAGGAATTCCCCCCCTTTGCTAAACTAGGTGGGGGCAGAGGCAGCATGTGATGCATCTGGTCTGCAGGCGGTGAGTTTGACACCCCTGCTCTATAATATAGACTTGGGAACTTTTTCTCAAAGTTGAGATGGCTATTGACAAGCATCTGCCAGTAGCAGTTTATGTCAGCAAAATTTTTTTAATAATAATAACCTGTTTCTCCAACAATACGGCCTCCCCCAATAGGAAGTCCCAGCATGTTTTATAGGCATGAAATAAAATTAAGCCCCTCCCCCCAAATTAAGGCCTATATTAAAACATGCAAAATGGTGGGGAATGGTGGGGGGGGGGCTTGCCGTTAGGAAGTACTTTTGTTGCACACCCGGATATGGTGCTGCCTGCGTTGACCCCGATACAAAGTGCCCCACCAACGCCGAGGTCAACATCCAAGCCTTCGCCACCCACCCACCTGAAGATGCAAGGGGGGGGGGAATTAAGTCACCCCCGAAAAGACAACCTAGCCATTTTTGGGGGGCTCAAAAAAAAATAAGACCCGGCCTTATTATATGAGAAACACGGTAGTGTACAGTGATACCATAACAGAAATCCAGACCTTGTGTTTTATCCTAATTCCAAAATATGAATTCTGGTGGGTTTTTTGGGGGGGGGGTCACTTTCCCCCAAAAGATTACCATTTCTATTGTCCAGTTAAAAAAACATATCCATTATGTCATAACCATGGGATTTGATTATTTGAGTTAATCAGGACAAAATACACTGTGAATTCCCAAACACAGCATAAGTTTCCAATTCTATCCTATGCTATCCTATTCTATTCTATTCCCTGTAACCCTGTTTTTTATGCAGGAACAAATTTACATTTACAATTGTTTTTCTTCATGCAAGCCTTAAAGCTCAATTGTACAATAAGGCTTGTATGACAGAAAAATTATGTTTTTACAAAGCGGTTATTTGGTTTGAAGTGTCAGTTGACAGCACAAATCATACTGTAAGGGAACACCTCTAAACTACAACAACTGAAGTTGCTATTTGGATATAACCCAAAATTCAAAGAAACGAGTTGTGCTAAAGCTCCGCTGAATACTGATCATTTTGAATCACTTCCATTTGATTTCTGTAAATGAGCAGAAACTATATTTAAAAAACTCATTTCTGAGCTTAAGCTTGTGCATAGCAAAAAATATTGCTCAATCAGTGACTATCCAGGAATAATAAGATTAAATATTAACAATTGGAATGACAGTTGGGCCTATCAGGAATAGGTTAGTACCCCTCATGGTGACTCATTTATATAGGAGCTTGAATTTGGTTTCCCTAATTTGGGGAAAACACTGCAAAGATGTTCAAGCAGCTCAGTATCATGAAGCTCCTATTGCTCTTTCTTCTTTCTGTTGCTCTAGTTAAATCTGATGAAACTACAGACTATGATGATGAAGAGGTTAGAATATCACTTCTTTTATATGGTAGCATGTTTTCTATTTCACTTAGATTAAAACATATTTCTGATTTGTATAAACAAAAGTTTGATTTTCAACCTAATCTAAGAAAAATGTGCTGCACTTTTGCCCATCCAAATACATATTTTCAATTTTTCTCTCTCTTCATTTTCTCCTTTTTTTTTCTTGATACAGGGAAATGATGCACCACCGGTAAGTATTTTTTAAAAAAATTAAAGTTAAAATATATAGCATATACTGGTTTATACTTGTTTCTGTGGTAGACAGCATTCTGATAATGTGTTAATAGTTTCCTATCAAATACAGAAAAATCTATTTGCAGAAAAGTTGAACTTCTCTGAAAAATGTATATTCGAAAGCAAATTTTATTGTAGCTAGGAATGAAATCTGGCAGGCATAGAGGGAACCAGTTGATTTTATAGACATTCCTTCAGCATTATTTATAGTATTCTTAGTGCTTATGGTTTTAAAAAGAATGTAAGAAAAAAGAATATGTGAAAGTGTTTTTCATTCCTATAGTTAAGCGGGTGGAGTATAGAATCATTTGTCTTGATAATGCACACTCAGGATATGTTAAACAAAAGCCTATTGTCTGAGCAGGTAATCATTGAACTTTTCAGAAATTAAAAAATATTCCATATTACTCTAAAAACAATATTAAATATTTTATTATGCTTAATATCCATTTGTAAATTAATGTTTAAAACTTTTTGGAATGAAATCTGATATTAGATTACGCATTTCCAACAAAACATTATACAAAGCATATGATTAATATTCTAATCAGTGATAAGCCATATAGCTAATATACATGTATATGTAATCTAAGAAAGGAAAGCCTGTTTCTTTTCATATTTGTAGGGCTTCAAGTTCTTCAATCGCTGTCTTTTATTTTAAAGTACAAAATATTTTAACTGCTTTCCAATTTATTTCCAATTTATCTTTTGTTGTATAAAATGTCGTGTGAGAAATTTTGGAGGAAAAAACCAAGCTCTTCTATGATTTTTGAACTCTAATTGCTTATATCCAGATTCATAGCCACATCTATAGAACTGTATTGTTTCAGAAGTTGATATAACCCATAAGATCTTCATGTCATGAAACTTTTCCTAGCTACTTTAAGTTTAAACTGACCTTCATATTCTTCAGCTTTGTTTCTTTTTCCTTTCTGCATATGTGGATTTTTAAATTTCATTTGACTAGTCTTGGTGATTTATTCTTAGACCAATCTGTTTAGTTAATGTACGCTTCCATAACTGGAGTGGAGAAATCTGAATGACTGCTACTGGTCTTCCAGGTTTTTTTTAGCCGAGCAATTATATTTTTAGGATTAAGCTATCTAGCACCCTCTTTTTCCCAATAAATATACACGAAGGGGTTAGGGTTAGGATTAGGGTAATACAATGTTTGATAGTATTAAGCAGAAGAAAGTCAAGTCTTTTGCCATGCTGTTTTTTCCCCTTTTAATCATATACTTAAAGGCTACTTCTCCTCCATATGGTTTCAGATCAACTTTTATTGTGCATTATATTGAACAATTGAGGTGCTGCAAATACACATTTTTGGAGATGTATGTTGCATTGATTCTTCCTTCAACAAACTAATACTTGAAATGAGATCCCCCTGCATTCTGTGTGGCTCCCACCCTGACGATATTCCATAAAGCCTTCAACACATAGTTGTTCTCTCAGGCCCCAAATCACATTTGGGGTTTGAATTGTATTGATTTTCATGTTAGTATTTGTGAGCTACCCAGAGTCAGTTGGAGATGGACAGTGTCTAAACTAAACAAACAAGTACATAAAAATGTCTAGGTTGGAATTCTATTTCACAATTTTTGGGAATAAGTATCACTGAACTAGTGGATTTTACATTTGACTAAATTAATAGGACTAAATAAATTTGTTAAAGTTAATGTTGTAAACCTGTTCAACCACATCATGTTTGCAGTCATAAATCCATTTTTCTGTGAGTAATACAGCTTTGTTCTATGCGGCTATATAATGTGAGTTAGTACTCTGTAGTTGTGCATATTGTAATAATAGAAGACAACAGTTCTTTGAAAGAAGAGATGGCGTTCTATGATGGAATGATAATTAATTCGTTGCGCCTTTTTTCCCCTTCTATAGATGGAATGATGGAATTATTTCCTAATGGAAACAATGCATACTTATCTTAATCAATGTGGCTTGCATAGTTCCCCAAATCATGATTTTTTTAAAAAAATATTGTCGAATAAGCTGCATTGTACTAAAACATAAGCCCTATAAACCATGGCTAACAATCCACAGAAGTTGGATTAATACTGCATCCTAAACTAAAACCGAACCAATGATTTTGTGCCATAGTGCAATGTAGAAACCTAGTCATTATTGTTAATCATATAGTCAAAAAAATTAAAATGTTAATTAGGTATTGCTTCTAATCATATCCATGCAGTCTACAAGTTAATTATTATTTGATTTGAGCAATTAGTTTCCATGAAAGAAACAGGCTTATTATAAAACATTAAATCACCAAGAGTATTCATGGTATAATAGCTAAGGTACTGGACTAGGACCAGAAGGGATTGGTGTCAACTTGATGTCTCAAGGAAACTCAGGAAATAAATCTAACAAAGTAAGAAACCAAGAAAAATACAGTACATAGAAATATTACAAAACGCATTGCATAGTTTGTTTTTAATCACACGAGTGCATCATTTTTTTGTTTTTGAGAATTTGATTGTCCGTGGGTTTTTTTTGCTAGAAAATTTCTCATCTTGAAAATTCTTGACGGTTTGCAATTTAAAACAGTATTTTTCCTTGATGTGAAATAGGTTGAAAATAAAGACAGCACTGTGGATGCACGAGGTCATAGGCCTTTGGACAAAAAACGTGAGTCACTTCCAACTCACAGGCCAGCTCCTCTTCCTCCTGTTGGTGGTATAAGGTATCGAGCTCGTCCAACCAAAAAACCTGTTACTGGTGAAAAGCCAGGCCCAATCGTTTACCCTGACAGTGGAGGTTGCAAACACTTGGCAGAGGAACTGGTAGGTATTAGTTGTACTGAGGTAGTGTTGAGCTAGAATATTTAAGACTAAATAATATGTTGCTTTCATTAAAGTTTTCTTTTCAGATTTATTGCACATTTTATTGAATGGAATGTTTATATGCAAGTCCATTTATTAGATCCACATAATAAATATGAACAGGCTTCCATATTTCTGCAAATCTCCATGAACAGCACCCTTAGTCTCACTAGCTCCATAGGATCCACAAATATCATAAAGGATTATTATGTGGAAAATATTACTTGTATTGATGTGAGATTAACAGATTAACAGATAATCAGAATTGGAAGGGACCTTGTAGGTCATATAGTCCAACTCCCTGTCCAAGCAGGAGACCCTACACCATTTCTGACAAATGGCAGTCCAATCTTTTTTTGAAAGCCTCCAGGGATGGCGCTGCCACAACTTCCGAAGGCAACTTCTGTTCCATTGGTTGATTGTTCTCACTGTCAGAAAGTTTTTCCTTATTTCCAGGTTAAATCTCTCCTTGATCAGTTTCTATCCATTATTCCTTGTCTGGCCTACAGGTGCTTTAGAAAATAGCTTGACCCCTTCCTCCCTGTGGCAGCCCCTCAAATATTGGAAGACCGCTATCATGTCTCCCCTGGTCCTTCTCTTTACTAGACTAGCCATGTCCAGTTCCTGTAACCGTTCTTCGTATGTTTTAGTCTCCAGTCCCCTAATCATTCTGGTTGCTCTTCTCTGCACTTTTTCCAGAGCCTCAACATCTTTTTTATAATGTGATGACTAAAACTGGATGCAGTACTCTAGGTGTGGTCTTACTAAGGTTTTATAGAGTGGTATTAGTACCTCACTTGATCTCTATTTGATCTCGAGATGTTAAGAGGAGAGATTTTTTTATAAAGCTCACAGCAAAATAGAAAAGAATTAAGCTCTCTCAATCACTTTGTTTAATGTAGTTTTGATAATAAAAAGAGCTATTCCAACAGTTACTGTTTTCACTTTTTAAAGGTTATTTTAATCATTTCTAATTTTGAATTAACCTACTGAATTTGTTGTTCTTTTTAAGGGTGTATTATGCCCAACAGGTTGTGAGCTGAGAACTGAACTATTGAAGCAAGAAAACACAGTGAAGCCAGCTATTAAGGATCTTACCGACAAAGCACAGAATCTACACCAGTCGTCCTCAACTATCAATAATTATGCCCATTTATTGGATGAGCGTTTAGCCAAAAGGCAGAAACAATATACAGGTAACTCTTAACAGAGTAACGTATCAAGCAGTTAAATTAATATGTAGGCAAAACTGCCTTGTTTTCACCATGAAAGTTTTGTTTTTAAAAAAGATGAGGGGTAGCAAACAATATGAAAAGCCAAATACATTCCTACAAAATAAGTACACTTGAATCAAGTATGCTTAAATCACATGATTTAATTCCCAAAGGTGCTTTTTCAAAAGACAGCTGGACTTTGTTTTTCCTTGAAGGCATTTTGCTTGGATTTACAGAACTGAATAAGCTTCTTGGATGAGATGCAAAATGTCTTCAAGGGGTAAAAAAAAAAACCAAGAAAGTCGAGTTGCCTTTTGAAAAAGCCCTTTTGGGACCACTGTGACCTGGATGACTAAGAATCTCCATAGACACGTGATCTAAGCCAAAAAGCTGACAAATGATTTATACTTAGTAAAGAAAGCTCATATGCTTTTTTTAGTTTCTATGTGTTTGCTATAATATCTGTAAAAATTAATTTTAATCGGTGTTGCATTTTCTTTATAGTTATACATTAGGCAACATAAATAACAGTTTTCTAGTGTAATCTTGTATGTATGTATTTAAAAATGAGTCTTATTAAACTAACAAAATTGGAACTGTTGCATTCCTGTCCATACTTCACTTGCAATCTTTTAGATAGGCTTACGTATCTTTGATTGCAAAATCTGCTTGTGAAATTTGCCATGCACATCAGTATGACAAGTTTGTCGCATCAGTTGGTTCTCAATCTGAGTAATTAGTGATTCCAAGCCCTGGGCTATGAAATGTTTTTGCGCACATTTTCTTTCATTTGTGACCATTAATCATTCTTTCTGGGAATGATGAGACCCAGTATAATTTAGGAACCCAAGAGTGAAAACTACTTAAATTAGTATAATAATACCAGTCTTGAGTACTGGATCCAGTAAGCAGATATTTCAATTATCTGTGATCTTTATCTAAGAGGAAAAAGGGAATAAAGTTTTGGCCCTGGTTTATAAAACTGCAAAATTGTAATTATTTATTTTGCATATAGTGCCACCTATTCATAGAAATTTACATAGATTTGGAAGCCTTTGTTCTTTTATCCCAGAGCTTTAGAGCCTAGAAATAAGCATAGCACAGGAAGTAGAAAGAAATGGAAAGTCATAATATCTTATTAAATGTATGTTGTTGTTGTTCTTTTTAAAAAGCATGCCATCTCTTCACCTTTCATTTCTTTCTTTCTCCAGATAATCAGAATTTAATTTCCCAATACAACAGAGAACTTGAGGAGCACTACACTTTCATCAAAGAGAAATTAGACAATAGTATTCCATCCAATTTACGACTTCTCCGTTCAGTTGTGGATACTTTGAACAAAAAGTTACAAAAATTAGAAAACGCTATTACGACACAGTTGTCTGAATGCCAAACTTCTTGTACAGTTTCTTGCAATGTCCCAGTTGTGAGTGGCAAAGGTAATGTTTCATTTCTCCCACTTGCTTTGTTGTTAGAAATGAGGCAGACTCTTAGATAGCTTAGACTGCTGCAATTATGGGAAGATCCTTACATTTCCATCTCCTGCAAGGTCAAAATTTCCCTTTGCTTTGTAGCAGTGTTGTACCTCTTTGGATTACCAACATTTGTCCTGGATCATTGCACTTACATAACACTGAGGCACCTTTTGAAATCTAACCTTCCTAGATTCTCATGGCTCTTGTATTTGGCTATTGGCAGTTCTGAGGTGTAAAGGACTACATGCCAATATGGTTAGATGTGAGAACTATGATGTATGAAACTAGAGTTATGCATGGACGTACTGTCTTTTAATAGCCTCCTTCTTTCTTTCCTTCCTGGAAAAGGAGAATTTATTTGTGACTATAGAGAACATTTGAAATTTAGTCAAGAAATACTGTATTTATAGCTTTACAAGTTACCCTTTCTATTCTGCAGAAAACTGACTG